AAAGTGTTGCAGAAGAATTCTGGAAGAAAGCAAAGACTGAAAGAGCTTTCACTCAAGAACAAAGGAAGGAAAAATGCAAAAGAGTATGGCAGCATTTTTTTTTTTCTCCAGCTAGTGTGATCCATCAACTCAAAGTTACTTTGGATCAGAGCACTTTTCAATTTCCCTTCCCCTTTCTACAGAATCCTCTTATTTTGATTTCTGGAGCCATTTACTTTGTTGCTGAGTTTAGTCACGTTATCCATCTCGATGCTGAAAACCATACTTGGGAGTATCCTATTGCATTTTCTAAGATTCTCCTTGCAAGCCAGGAGAACTAGCCTTAATATGGCTTGGATTTCACCGTGTTAAAGACAACCCAGTTCATGCCAAGATGTGGAACTGACAGCTTCTTCTGTGCCCAACAACTGACTCTCCCTCACACCTCCCAAAAGACTTCAGTAACTGACTCTGTAATTCACATTATAGAGTGGGACTAATTGATCAGGATTTATGCTTATTTTCATCTGGAGGATTATCCTGGGGAGCTCTTATTTAAATAAAAGTGCTTGTTGAATGAAAAGGGGGTGCCACAATAGAGATGTCTGGACTTGAAATAAAGGCATTAAAAATATGGGGGGAGGGGGGGGGAAATAAAAAAGGTGCAGCATCCATCATTTGGGGAAAGGAATTCAAGGCAAGATTTTGAAAGGCATTAGCTCCTGTGGAATTGGATCCATACTATCTTCAAATGTCTTGCTGCCTTTATCCCCAAATCCTTCTGTCGTGTCTTGATTATTTTACAGGTACCAGATACGCAGATTTGGATACCAGTTGTACTATCTGCATTTGCTGTATTTTATCCTCCATACCACCAAAGGCCAATGATTTGCAACTGAATATGGAAGTAAAAATTAAATCTGCCTGAACCACAGCTGCGGGGAAGGAAGCAATGAGCTGTGCTCTTGTTTATACAAGTAAGATAAGAAAAACTACTTCCATTTGACAGCAGCCTGTAAACTGACACCATTACACTCAAGGAGGAACGCATTCCCTGCAAGTACTTTAAAGTCAGAATTTTACACACACAATCTTGTAATGTAAACATAAGCAACAGCAAGATGCTTTATTACTTGGTTCTGGCACTCCTTCTGGCAATAGTGTTCTTGGTTGGGCAACCATAAAACTAGTTCACGTGGATCACCCCAAACTGTCTGCTGCATGCAGCAACTCAGGAGAGCTTTTTGCATGCTGATGCCCTGGGTAAGAAACTGAAGGGAGGATAATGAAGGTGAGTGATAGGAAGAAAAAAGAAAAATTGTGACAAAGAGCAGAAGTGAGGAATAATAAAAGACAGAGAAGTATTAACTTTAAGGCAGGGTATAGTTTTCACAGCATTATATTGCACTGGGAGACAAAAATATATTAAAGTGTATTAGGCTAAATTGTTTGAGAAAATTACTTAGTGTCATCATATCTTTCTCTGCTTGGGGCTGGCAAGTTGGCTCAGCCCCTTCTGTTACTTTTTGCGACCAAACTGGTGTCTGAAGCCAAAGACCAGTCCCTGGGGAGGCACTTTGTGTCCACTAGAACTGCACTGAGAGCTCTCTATTTCCTTCTCCCTAAGCCGAAGAAAAGCTCCCAGTTTTATTTCCTTTCTTATCTCTGGTGTCATGAATCAAAAGCTTTCAGCATCACCATCAGATTACGAAACACACCTACACACTTCATACCCTTATTCCATATAGACACTTGAGAACTTACTACGACTGGCCTCAGCAGTCACAACCTCATTGACCAGCATCACCAGAGTAGAAGAAAAGCCATTAAACTCCATGATGAATCCGTGAAAGGTGCCCAGCCAAGACCATCCTCTCACATGTTATTACAGGTAACCAGAGTGGAAAGCCAAGGGCTCACCAACTGCTTAAGGTGTCAATAAGAATCAACAGCTTGCCCTGCTACAGCCTCTGTAAGGAAAGGATGAGGTGCTGCAGCCTCCCTCACTGTTTTGGACAGACGGGAGGGTCCAGCAGCCCCAGGGGCAGTGCCCGTCCTGGCTGACGGGTGATTACCCTGCATGGGCAGCTGGGATGGTGCCCAGCACTGGTCTTCTCTTCTCAAGGCTGAACAACCCCAACTCTCTAAGCCTGTCTCCATAGGAGAGGTGCTCCATCCCCCTGCTCATCCTTGCAGCTCTTATCCGGGCTCTCTCAAGGAGCTCCATGTCCTTCTTATGTTGGGGGCTCCAGAATTGAACACAGAACTCCAGATGGGTCTCACGAGAGCTTAGTAGGGGGGGAAATCACCTCCTTTGGTGAGGAGGGCCTCCTGCTGGCCACTCTGCTTTTGATGCAGCCCAGGATACTGTTGGCTCTCTGGGCTGCAAGTGCACATTCCTGCCTCATGTTGAACTTTTATCAACCAACACGCCTATCATTTGACACTTTAGGCCTCTGTACATTGGCTCACTAGTATAATGCATTTTATAATTGTTGTAAAACACATTCAGAAAGAGTTTTGGGCTCTTTTTATTATGACACATTGTAACACCCCTTTGGCACCACTATCATACTGTATTATATATTAGCTATATAACTCCTTCTTATGCAAAACAAGGTTATTCATTATTTTAGTCAATTCTTGATTAGTAAGGTGGCTTGTGTTCTGCATAGTAATAGACCAAATGTTTTTCCTGAGCAGTCATTACCCAACACTTGCACAACTCTAATCTGAATTCCAAGAAGGACCATCAATAACAGCAAATGGGAAGAAGTTAAAAGGTATTGTAAATGTTGTCTTCTTTTGAAGCTTAGAAAATATTTTAAAATAGAATTTAAAAAAAGAAGGATATAATGGCAAAATATGATAAGTTATTTTAAAAGCCAAGAATCCAACACCACCTGTAAAGTGAAGGAACATCTGTTAAGGGAATCCTTGCACAGCATTTGAAAGCAGAAGTGCCAAGATTTATTCCTGTTGATGTTACTGAGAATGACCACACAGAAGAGGTAAGAATTGTCTGGAAGAACATCTCAAAGATGCTGTAGAAGCATTTGCAGGCATGGCTGTGAAAGAATATGACTAAACAGTATCTGAAGTTGCTCACTCTCAGCTTTTTTGTAAAGTTTCTCAGTACAATATTAAACTAGCTATTATGACCAGGGGAAATATACTTTAATTAGCTTTGATTTTTATTACGTAATATATTCAGTGTATTTGAAAGATGATAGATTGAGAGTCTGGAGCAGGAGATCCTCTCTCCATCTTTCTGTGAACAAAGTACAAGCCTCGTGTCAATGCCAAAGCCTTCCAAGCACCCAGAGCAGCCAATTCTTAGTAGCATTATTCACTTTGATACGGAAACACTGTGCATAAATGTTGCTTCAGGAAAGTAACTGAAATTGGAAGGAAAAAATAAATGGCTTGGTTCAGAGACCTTACAGTAGTAGAACAAAGAAGCAGAAAAAAGTTTCCATTTTATAGTGCTAATTTGGAGTGGACAGAAAGAAGGCAGCAGGGAAAAAATGCTGTCCACAACTACTATATGGTAAACACTCCCAAATCCAAACACTGAAAATTTCAGGGGAATAAGACCATAAGTAAAGAATTACATTACTGTCACCTTGACTGACCACTTGCATAACACCAGCCAAAAAAAGCCTAACCCACAATTCTTCTGCAGAGCCTACAACTTTGTCTGAGGGTTACAATATATTCAAGTGATAGAAAATCCATCAGGTAAGCTGCTCTGAAGGTCAGCCACACTGTTAAAGCCTTTTCCCATACCTTTAGTGAGAATTTTCTGGTAATGAATTTCCTTAGCTCTTACTTAGCTTCCATGCTGCAAGGGATTTCATAGGGATTTTTTTTTTCCTAGATTAAAGAAGGATCAGCTACCAGAAATCTTTTCACTGTTTAATCTGTGCTCACCTCTTAACCCTTTTTGTTGTTGTTGTTGTTGGGTTTTTTTGTTTTTGTTTTGTTTTGTTTTGTTTTTCAGGGGGGAAAGGAATAAACTGAATAGTTTAAGTCCTAAGCTGCTTAAGAGCTTCTAAGCCTCTTAGGGTAGGGTAAATTTCCTAAAAACTGAACTCTTGCAGTTTTTTCTGACTAATCTCCAAATTTCCACATACAGATGACAAAACCACAGTGTTTCACCCTTCTACGTTTTACAGAAGAAACAGGCCTGCCTGGTCCTTACACTTCTGCAGTAGACTAATTGCTCTGCTTCTCTAAGGACTTCATTTGACTGTCAGCTGATGGGGTAACACCTTATACTGGGTGCTGATCTTTAGTCACTTCTTTTAAGTCACACTCATTTAGGCCTGGGTAATTAGTTGGAATTTTGGGCCAAGCACAGATAAGTTCTGTAGGAACCACCACCTCAACCTTTCCTCCCATCATCCAGACAACCAATACATTCAAGAGTATCCTGGAAGAGTTCTGTCCTTTTTCCTGCTTTGAGCCCAAAGCGAGGATCCTGGGAAACTAGTTAGCTGTCTCACTTGGTAAAACAACCATGATTATACTACCATCAGGATAACAATGCTATCAAAGAGTGCTTCAGATAAGAATTTTAAAGAATTAGTCCTTTAGGAGTTTTTTGTTGATATATTCAGGATTTCTTGTATTGACACAGTGCACTGCCACAATGCATGACAGAGGATGCTAAAAAATACTACATGTAGAATAGTATCATATATTTTTGAGCAAGTACTGAATAAACATCAGTGTTCAATGAAGACAAAAACTTCAGGGAATAATCCTGCTCCTGTAACAGTGAACCAAAGCATGTGAAAAATGAGGAGATGCTAGAGGAAGGAATGAGAGAGGCAATTGTTGGCAAAAAAAACCACACAAAAAAAAACCCCAAAAAGATTAAAAACTCATCTATCAAAATATTTTTAGATTGTTTCTTTACAAGAATGAATGATTATATGAGAAAATTAATTTAGAGCAGTCCATCAGCCAACACTGAGCACAAGGCTATTGAGACATACTATTCCCCACTTACTTACACATTCAGAGGTTGCCAGGCAGGCCACTGTGCTTTTGCCTTGATGACTGTTAAAACCTCATCGCTCTGTAAAGAGACACAAAACAAGAAAGTGATTGGGACAATTTTACAATGAGAGTAATATGATTTATTGCAAAAAGAGCTACTGTGCCTCCAAATTCTGACTATGAGAAATAAGTGTTGTCCTCCTTGTTATCTGAGCACCTCATGTCCTCAGCTGTACAGGGTTCATCATGGAGTTTATGTGGATTTGGGAGGCAAGAGCAGCAGGGAAAGGCGATCAGACCTTGGGCACAGTCTTTTCCCCTTCTGCAGGAACTGAAACGAGCTTAAAACACCAACAGCAGTTTGCAGACCAAGTTATTTGGTAAGATATGCATCATGAGCTGAAGGGCAAGCTTTCAGAGTGGTGCACTGTGATGACAGGTACAAAAAGGAAAATACATTTCTATTGGGAAAATACCCCAAACCGATCAGCCCAAACAGAGTTTGTTCTGGTAACACTATCAAAAGAAGAAGTCTGTTAGCCCTCATGTAGTAGTTGATTAGCAAGAAGTATAGCTTAGGCTGTTGATTTTGTGACTCTGACAATCCTTGTGGCCAGAGGAACTTACCAGGTAAAGGAAGCAAAGACAGAAAAATTGCACTTAATGTGTAACAAATTCAAGGGCCAAGAGGCAAGCAAAAACTAGAGGCTGTTGCTCTAGGCAAACTAACACACCCTGTGAGCATGTATGATACATTATTTATTAACCTCAAATATGTAAGGAGGAGGTAAAGGATCCATGGTAGATTCACTACAATCTCCTCCAAATAAAGCCATTGGTAGCATTTTCTCTTTACTCTCCATACTCATGTAAAAATTACAGGATGAAATACAGCATCCACCTGTGGAAGCCCATGTGGCAAAGCATTGTACAAGGCTAATTTCTTAAAGTCTGCAGGAATTCCTGCATCAGCAGTTCTAAACTTTATATTGGTAAAATAAATCCAAGAGAAAAGCAGGCCACCATTAACAAGGCTCTGATGACCAAAAGACATCTATCACAGTTTTTAAGAAGCATTTTCCCTGTCTCCCTTAGGAACCCACCTTGGTAATTTGCCTAGAGGAACACAAAGGTCATAACTCACTCACATGGTTTCTACTGTATTTTAAAAATATTTCCCAATTAGACTAAGGAAGCCACCTCATCCATTACCCATAATTGTCACTTCCAACAGAGATGAGTTTTCAGTTTAGTGATAATAGTGCAATTTCCTGCTTGATAGCAAGTTCTGCTACCCAGGCTAGCTCTAGACCATACACACCTCTATTTAAAGAAAACAATATTAACTGGTTGTTTCTACCACACTCAACACTTTCTGACTCCCTCTTTTTACCAAAGCAAGGTAATTGCAGCTCTGACGGACCCTCTCTGTAACACTCACACTGCTAACATACTTTGAATAAAGAGAATAGGGGATGAAAGGAGCCATAAAACAGCCTGCAGCAGAGCTGCACCAGCAGGCAGATTCACTGGGGCAGGTCCTGGGTGAGCAGCAGCAGGTTGAGTCCCCAGCAAAACCCTCTCCCAGCCTCCCTGCTGGGCTGGGTGGCACCCAAATGAGATGTGCTCCAACCAGGTTCATCTATGGCAACCTTCTTCTTACCTCCATGACTACAAAAGTGGAAGAGCCAGCTTTCCCCTTAAAGTGATTTAAAAGGAAACTGATCAAATTAATTAAGTTAAAAGTCATTACTTCTCTTTATCTGTCAATGGAATTTTCCTTGTTTCAACATGTGAAGTATCTCCAGCCAGGTATATCGTCATTTACTTGCCTTGAGAACACATTTGCATTCAAAATTATTAACTGTGTATTGTACATCCCAAATAAAGTCTTTTACAAGCATAGATGGTTACGTTTTGAAAATTATCCACTGCTTAACTAATACAAGCCAATAGTTATGTCAGTAACACCCAAATCACTCATGTCTGAAAGCATTTTAACATGTTCCATGCAAATTAACATTGCATACCAGGAGTGGATGAACCATGACTAACAGTTTAGTAGTAAGTGCAGAGGGGAGGAAATAAGGAACAGAGCATGTTGCATTCAGACACCCTTGGATTTTTACTGGAGTTGAAAATTGAGATACAAGAGCTGAATTCATGGCCGCTTCCTGAACTTTTATTCCAAAATAAGAACATGTAGACCTAGCAATCTGTAGATCCTGGAGTTAAAATAGACATTTTTGGTACCTAGAGCTCCTTGACAATTACAGAGAATTATGTTGCAACTTGAATTAAGTAATTTTTATTCCAGACTGATATTCTAATTATGCAGATGTCTCTTCCATGCAGATTTGTAATTATTTTTTTTTTTAATTAAAGACTGTAACACTTATTAATGCCAGTGTATATTTACTTCTGCATGCACTGATAGACAGACAGGTACTCAAGCAGGTATTTTGTACACTAAGGAGTTTTCTTTGGACAAGTGTTTATGTCAAGAAGATGAAATCCTGGAAAGCAATACAGTAAATTCTCTTTGCTGCCTACTTAGGTCTGTAAGGCTATTGCCATGTCAGGTCTGACTGCCAAGTTTTGCTCCAGGCTGGGGAATCCAGCTCCACTTGCCACTTGTGGTGCCACCAGCCTGCATCTCTCCATCTTCCTGCAGGGAGCAGGCTTGGGGAGATCCTCCAGAAAAACAGCCACATTCCTCTGCCTCCAGCCTCCCCCTGCGTTTTTAAGGGAACATGATAAACTGAAAGAGCCCAAGCAAACAGATGCTAACCCACCATGCAACTTCACAGTCTTGGGAACAATCTATAGCTAGACAGCAATCTATAGAAAATAAATGGTGGTTGGATTTGCTGGCCAATCTCTTTAGCTATAATTTGTTGGCAGATGGTAGCAAATGACAGGATATGAAATGCTTGAACAGAAACCCACAAATTAATAATATAAAATGAGTTGATACAACCCTGCTTCCTTGAGTGAACCAACTGCACAGACTTCACAGTCTAAAACATCACACAATTTTAATGAATTTTAGTTAACATTTTCTTAGTGCTTGCTGTATCATATTTGCACCCATTTTTCTCTACTCTCCATAGTCCCGAAGTTTTGCTTTCATTTCCAAAGTAAACAAACACTCAAATTCACATTAAAATATGGAAAAAGAACTAGAATGCTTCACTGTTGTATGTTACAAGTTGTCATCATTTATGTGTTTGGCTGGGAAGCAATGGTTACCAAGTAATGAAACTGTTAGATTTTGAAAAAGAAAACTGGATCATTTGCAAAATGATGGAGTGTCAAAATGTTATCATGTCAGAACAAGTTAAAGGGGGAAGCAACAATGCCCTTGCTTGGAGCTGCTGAAAATCCTTTAGGTAAAGTCTGACAGACACCTCTTCCGACAATAAAAGGAAAACGAACAAACAAACAAAACCCCAAAATAAAACAAACAAAAACAAAGGAAGAAAACTCAATCCTATGTTTGCCTCTATGGAAGCTTTCAAGGAATGAATTTGGGATTACCTGTCAGTTGTTACAGAGATATACAGAAGGAAAGTGGTTTACCTGCTTCCCTTTTCCCATTTAAAGTGGTTTCCTCCTTGAGTACAAATCACAGAATTGATACTTGGGAATTTGCAATCGAGTTTTTGCTCAGCTTCTTTTGAGCATATCGATTATCACACCATGGAGTACAGGTATGAAATTTTCCCATGAGGACAGTGAGAGCCTGTGGGCAGGTTCTTATGGCAGCAACATGCCCTGCTCCTCGGCAGATGCACCCATGTGCCTGCACCTCTCTTTGCTGTGAGAACTGGCTACTGCTGACACACAACTTCTGCGACTCCTTTAAGTAGGAAGTCATGATTTAATGATTGAGTATGAGGTCTCAGGAGCCTTTATGCTAAATCCCTCTAAAAAGTGTGGTTAGGCATAACCACTTACAAAACTTGGTATCAAATCTTTGTAGAGCCTCTTGAAGCCTCTTTTTCAGTTTCAGTTAGTTCACTTATGCTATTTCAGTTTCCAGTTGAAATAGAATGACTTGCTCTCCACATGCTTTAAGCTTGTTCAAAAAGCTCAGTGGAGCCAATTGAGTTTCTAGACTGACTTGGATATTTCTGAGATTGTGACCTAAATTAAAACATGCAAAAAGAGAAAACAATTATTCCTTTCTCCTATCCACTTTCTACATTTGTGTTCAAGCTGGGGGGCAGGTGGTTGACTCACTAGAAGTTCTCTATGGAAGTCCTGTCCTCCAAAAAGTCTAGTAAGTAGCATGATTTGAAAAAGTGATCACGTCATTCTAATACAGCCAGCCTTCCTGACATTCTGAAGTTTGTAAAAATTAATCATTTACTTCACATCCATTTGTTCCTGCAGTGTACAGATGAAGGCACAGACAGAAGAAGTCATTAAATGGCAACAAATAGAACCCTGTGGTATGAAACCAGTGTTAGCATGTCCTCATCTTCAGGAACAGAAAGTGGGACATAGCTCAAAGAAGCAGCATTGAAGATAGAATTAGATTTTAATTCTTTCTCATCCAAGAGGATTTGAAACAACTTACTTAAAGGGTAACATCCATTAAAATGTAATGAAAATTTCATGCAAAAGTTTTAAGTAACCCCTGAATGCCTTTAGAATAAAAGAAAGATTAGTAGGATCTGGAAAGCCACATAAACAATTTAATGTGCTCCTGCTACATCCTGTTTTCCTTTGGGAATCAAATGCTATGAAAACAAGTATGATAAAGAGCTGCGAAGGGATAGCTGGGTGCTCTTAAAAGCTGACCAGTCTTTTATGATGGGTATAAATAGGCCCTGTTCCACCTCCACCATATGCAGAGACACAGAAATTACTTTAGAACGTAAAAAGCATGAAAAAGAATGTGTGTTCAGTATCCCTAAGATAAGGATACCAAGATTCTTCAGTTTATGAAAATAGTTTCAGGTAACAAATACCTTCAAAACCTCACATTTTGGCCCCATGTTACTACATCCACTGTATAACTGCACACCTTGTTACAGAGTGGTGTTAGGAGGAAACATGTAAGAGAAAAGA